ATTGAATTAAATAATTTTAAAAAACAATATAAAACTTAGAATTTAATAAATTAATTTTTTAAAATTTTAATTAAAAAATAAAAATTTAAATATACTCTCTAAAAAATTTTAAAAAAAACAATATAAAAAAAAAACTTTTCCTCTAAAAGTTTTTATCTCGTTATTGAAAAATTCAAATACGAGAATGTTACGTCAAGATAGGTAATGCAGACAAGGACATTACTGTTGCAGTACAAGGCCAACTTATCAAAAGCGTGCTTTTCATACGATCAAGAAACTGTTCAAAATAACGGCAAAAAAAACAGAGGGAGGGAGAGAATTTTCAAAATAGAAGAAACTTTCATTTTTTTATGTCTCTTCAATTTAAAGTTTTAAACCTACATATATTTTTCATTTCACTTAGTTTTCCTTCCATACAACTCTGAATAGTTGCACGTTGTCATTGGATTAATCTTCTGGGATTTTATTTAATGACAAAAAGAGAGGAAATTATATGGCCAACCAACCACCTGGCACAATGGCACTTGCTCCCTTTGCATGGTAGGCACAGTAGGCAGGTACCGACCTTGGGTTTGAAACTTTTGAATCCATCTCGATCCGTCCCCTAACTCCTTAAAAAAATAGGTAAAATTAAATAATTGCCCTATTTCAAAAAAAAAAGAGAAGAGCAAAACCTTATATTAAACCCCAAGTTTATCTCAAATTCTTGATTAAGTTCTTGTATTGAAGCAAATAAGTCCCTTAAGCTGGATAATCTGATTGATTTAATTTTTTTGTACAATAAACCTAATATTTATTTGTGTTTCGTTGTATAAATAAAGTATTAATATGTCATTATTTATATATTAAATATTGATTTTATTATTTTTTATTTTTTATTTTTTTGGTTTTTTGCCCGGTATCCGGGGTTTCGCACCGACTAATCCGGACTCGACCAATCCGGACCCGACCCGCGTTGCGCACTTGGAAATGGTAGGTGAGTCTCCCAACGAGGGCTGCTGCATACATAAGGTCTCGAACTCGAGATCTTACTTAAGCTGGAACAAGTCGCTTACCATTTTATCCAACCTCTCGTTGGTTAAATATTGATTTTATTTATACAAATAAAGTACACATAAGTGTTAAGTCTATAATAAGAAAAATGATTAAATTACCAAATTTAAAGATTTACTTACTTTAACAAAAATTTAAAGATTTAATAAAAAATATAAAATAAATCTAAGAGTCTAAAATAAGATTTTGCCTTAAAAAGAAACTTTCCCCACAAAATAGTGTTTCTAAAGTTGGACAATTCGAGGAAAAAGTAACCAAAATGGCAAAATCATGTGAATTCTCACATGAATGATT